AAAATTTATATAACTCGAATCAAATCAAATTGAAAGATTTTATAAAATAAATTTGACTCGACTTGACTCGAAAAAAAATGAGTCGAATAGAGTTGGTCTTTAAACTCGACTCAATTCGACTCATTCAGAACTCTAGCCCTCAGCCCTTCATAGCATATGCTTTTGCCATTAATATTTACTTTTATAGTAGGTTCTGTTTTGTAATTAGATGCTCTTTCACATTTTTTTACATTTGTTTAGGAAAAAAATAGAGGGACTTGGTCAGCATATATATACAAAAATTAATATATTTCACAAGACCTGACTGATAATCTACTTATTTTTGTCACATAATCTGTGGCTCAGCAAATTCTTCTGAGCTGATGATCATTGCTCTGAACTAGTCAGAGTATCTTAAACAGAGAGGCATATTAGACATATTTATCTTCTGATTCAGTTTCAGAGTCAGTTTCAGTGTATTCTGAATCATAGATTAAGATTGTCAATAGCTATATAATATTAGAAAAACTTGGTTATTATGACCTTTCTATTTGAATTAATTGCGATGAAATTAGGAAATAATAATTTGTAAAATGTATATAACGAAGGAGACAGTATATCAATATTGTTTCTTACATAATAAAGTCTATTTTTCTTCTTTATTTTTCTAATATTTTGCATCCTGTTTATCAATTTCATATTTCAACCCAATTAATAATTATTACTTAAAACCAAATCGTATTTAGGCTTATCAACAACTATAAAATTTGCTGTATCTTTTCCCAAATATGAAGAGGATACTATCTCATCAAAGATATTTGGCAAAGTAATAAAAACTTCTTCTCTATCAATTCAACCCCTCCTCATCACTTTCTTGCCAGCATTTATCACGCTATTATTATAGAATTCTTCAACTCAAGGTGGTCACGTTATCAAGTTTCTACTCAAAATTTCTAACTGTAGCTTACTGCGATCAAGACGTTAGGATCTGCCTAACTCTTAACTTTACCAAATTTACATGTTAGACTTAAATAAATCTATCAAGTATGAAGACTTGAAAGATGAGATTATGAACAATTTTAATTAAAGAATTCAGATGATGAACTTAATTACAAATAATGTATAGGGATCACGTCAGACTATATGAAGATATAAAGAGGCAGAAAGATATAAGTTTTAATTAATTCTTTTATTAATATTAAAACTTGTATTCATAAGAGAATTTACAAATCTGCAAAAGAGTTAATTTACAACATAAGCAAAAAGTCTATCTATTTATACAAAATTTCTTTTGTTATAACTAACTAATTACTATGCTATAAATTAACTAATTTAGTAAAATAAAATATAAGTAAAATAAATATATTGAGAATAATA